TATTATTTTAATTACTTATTCTCCATCTGTTCTCTTCCAATATGGAATGCCTATTATTAGTATATTAGTTTCTTGGGTTTTGAGCTCTTTCTCCCTCCCTCCCTCCCTCCCTCCCTCCCTCCCTCCCTCCCTTTTTTTCCTTTATTCTTATTTTTATTCATTCCTTTGTTCTTTTTGTTTCTTTTTATTCTTTTGAGGGGCCTTATGTTTCTTAGGCAGGCCTTGATCTCAGTATGTAGTCAAGGATGACCTTGAATTCCTGTTACCCTTGCCTCTTTCTCACACCCAAATGCTGAGATTCTAGGCACACATCACCATGCATGGCTTCTATTTATTCTTTATGAATTTCACCATTTTTGCTTTTTAAAAATCTATTTGCTCTTTCAATAATATTTTCCATTTCTTCTTTAGTTATTTCTAATCTATTAATTTTTTTTTGATTTTTCGAGACAGGGTTTCTCCGTAGCTTTTGTTTGGTTCCTGTCCTGGAACTAGCTCTTGTAGACCAGGCTGGCCTCGAGCTCACAGAGATCCACCTGCCTCTGCCTCCCGAGTGCTGGGATTAAAGGCGTGCGCCACCACCGCCCGGCATCTATTAATTTTTAAAACTTAAATATCTTATTTTAATCCCACAAATTTTAAGATTTACTTACATTGTGTGTGTGTGTGTGTGTGTGTGTGTGTGTGTGTGTGTGTGTGTTTATGTAGTTGAAATCAGGTGCCCTTGGAGGCCAGAGACATCAATCATATCTCCTTGCAGGTGGAGCTGTAAGTGAGCCACTGGATGTAGTGCTGGGAAAAGAATTTGAATCCTCTGCTAGAACAGTATTTCTTACTTTAATTTTTATTGAAGATATATTTTTTCATGCACTATATTCTGATCATAGTTTCCCCTCCTTCATTTGCCTGATACTCCCACCTCCTCATCCATCCAACTCTATGCCTTCTTTCTCTCTCTCCTTAGAAAACAAACAGGCAAAAAGAAAAAGGACTAGAATATGAAAAAAAGAAAAAGCATGAGAAGCACATACACAACACACATGCCAGTATATATATATATATATATGTATACACACATGCACACACACACACACACACACACACACACACACACACACACACACGTGCACAACATTGGAAACCATACTATGCAAAGGAAAAAAAAAGACAATAAGGTAAGGTAAAAGTTGCCCCCCCAAAGCATTATGAGACAAAAAAGATATCTACAAAACCACCATTGAGTTTACTTTGTGTTGGCCATCTACTGCTGGGCCCAGGGCCTATATTTAAGTGTGGTTTCTATACCCCATGAGACTTTATTCAAGAAAACTGGTTTTTCCTTTGTAAGAGGTTGCCAACTGGGGATAGCTTCTTGGTTAGGGATGGGAGCTCAGGACCTCTTCCCCATCCCGTTGCTAGAATGCTGTCTGTCTTGTACCTGTTCATGCTGCCACAGTCTCTGCGAGTTTATATGTACATTAGTCCTGTTATATCTAGAAGGCCTTGTTTCTCTTGGTGTCCTCCATCCTCTCTGACTCTTGGAATATTTTTGCTTCTTTTCTGCAAACTTCCTAAGGGAAGGGCTTTGATAAAGTCATCCCATTTAGCACAGCATATTTCAAGGTCTCACTCCGTATGTTGTCCAGTGTTGTGTTGGTCCTTGTATTAGGCAGTACTTGTTCTTAACTGTTGAGCCATCTCTACAGCCTTTCCCATGAATTTTGAGACCTTTTATGCTTCATACATGTCTTACAATTTTCTTCTGAAATAAAGTTGCTCTTTGTTTTGACTTTTGTTACTTGAAAGCAGTTCCCACTCTTTTCCTAGGAAGATCCAACATTCCCTAAAGCCCATGCAGGACTGTCCTCTTCCTGTGAGACAGTCATCCTTTGTCATGGGTTCCTTCTTTCCCTTCAGGCTTAGTCCTTCCATGTCCTTGCCCCAGCACTCTCTGCTGCTGTTCCCCCTAACCTCTTCCAGAGAAGGTACATCTCAGCAGAGTCTGTCAGTCCTCACAGCTCTTATTCTAACCAGCTGAAGGCTGGGGAAAGGACAAATATCAGAGGTACCGAATCCTTCTCTCTTTCTGTAAGTTTTGATGAGTATAGCTTATATTTTTGTAACAGTTTGCCCTATCTTAGCCCCATTAAGAAAATGTTCTCTACCCCTCACTCCCTCATCACCCTCCCAACCCACCCCTACCCCCCACCCCCGCCACCACCCATCAACACCTGAGGCAGGTGGGAAAGCTGGCCCTGAGGTCCTAAGAGCAGGAGAGCTGATTCCCCTCCACCCCTCTTACCAGCACACTCGGGAAAGTGGACCCTACATTTTGCCTGGGCAGCGCAATAAAGCCAACCCTGTTGGCAAAGGTATGGGCAAGCCAGCTCTAAAGTTGTGAGCATGGGAGAATCCCCATTACTCTCATTGCTTATCTGTCATGTGGTGGCATGAACTGTGTAGAGATGCCCCCACCCCCTTCCATCAACTCCTGAGGCAGGTGAAGAGCTGACCCTGAGGTCATAAGAGCAGGAGAACTGTCCCTGTCCCTCATCAGCTGCAGCACCTGGGAGAGTGGCCCGGATGCCTCACCTGGACCACACAGTAGAGCTGGCCCTGAAGGTGTAGGTGTGAGAGAACCAACCCTGAGGATGAGAACTGGCCACACCCCTTGCTCATCACTGCAGGGGGTGAAATAGCCAGAGCAATGTTGGAGAGCCCACCCTGGTGGGGAAGACAGGGTAGAGCTGGCAGGTTGACCAACCCTGTAACTGCCCAGGCCCAGAACCAAGGTAATATGTTGAGCAACCCCAACATCCACTCCATTTGTGATCTGCTGGGGTATGAGACTGAGGGGGTCAGTCCTGTGAACCTAGGGCTGCAGGATCTCCATGCCACAGACAAGCAATGGATGTCCAGGAAGAGTCCCAGTGAGGGCCCAATGTTGACGGTGTAGCAGAGACCAAGGGTCTTGAACCAGACCAGTGCTCTTTTGTGATGAATGCTTCCATGTAAAAATGTATGGATAAAGGGGTTTACTGCATGGCTCACTGTGTCACACTGCAGCTTCTATGACAAGATTTTCTTTTCCTCCTTTTATTTCTTTTTTCTCTTAAACTTTATTTTGTTTCATTCTGCAGGGCAGGGGTGGGGAGGGAGATGGGGGAACCAGGAGGCATGCATGATATGAGAGACAAGACACAAAGAATAAATAAAAAAGTTTAAAAAGGAAAATATTAAATACTGCACTCTTAAAATTAGAAATAGCATGGAGATCCTAATTAATGACTCTACTTGTGTTTGTGATTTGCATGGAATTATTTGTACATATAATGCTTAGTTCCTAAATATTATTGCATGGTAATTAAAGAGGGGTTTCATTTCCATTTTTCAGATGAAGGAAAGGTTAAATGGCTTTCTCAAAGATAACTGTGTTATACAGGAAACTGGACTGTGATAGTAATCATCTTATTACAATATGCCACTGCGTCCCTCCCCCACTTATCTCCAGAACACATTATACTGTGAAGATAATTCTTGGAATCCCCTAAGTCATGTATTATAATCTGTATTGTTTTCAATTACTTATTATAATGCGATGTATGATTTAAAATGCCCATAAATGGTAGAGCGTTAAAATAAAGTAATAAGGTTTTCTTACCTAGTTTGAAATCTAACAAAAGGAGAATTTGAAAATAGTTTGAAACATTAAAATAATTATAATATGTGTATTCTTTCCCAAAGATAACATTTCTGAGAAAAGTGTATATTTGATATGACTCTCCTCTTTCTAATACATTTCAAAACATTTGACTGTATCTTGCTGTGCAGTAGGAATGCACTTGGCTATTTCCTTATCAAGTATGGCACTGAGAAAATGTAACCATGTCGTATTATGTATGTTTTGTTTGAGAGTTGCAGTAAGCAGCTGAACAAGCTAGTAGCTATTTTAAAATTAGTGCTTGTCCTGCTCGCTCTCAGTTTCTTTTCATACCAATACTGTTTTTATAAGTACAATCTTAACAATAAAGAAATAAATAAAAATAGTATCTCATATTCAAGAGTGATACTCAAAGGGGCTGATATCTGATATGGCCTGGTCATAAATCAATCAATCAGAACACATACTGAGTAGCGGCACCAGGTATGGTTATATCTGCCCACTATTATTCAGTCCTGTCCCAGTCATAGCTAACAAAACAGTCCCGTTGCCTAAGTTCTTTTGTTTTGTTTTGGTTTGGTTTGGTTTGGTTTGGTTTTGGTTTGTGGGTTTTTTTTTTTTGTTGTTGTTGTTGTTTTTTGAGACAGGGTTTCTCTGTGTAACAGTTCTGACTGTCCTGGAACTCCTATTGTAGACCAGGTTGACCTCAAACTCACAGAAATCTGCTTGTTTCTGTCTCCTGATCAAAGGTGTACACCACCACTGCCCGGCTTGCCTGAGTTCTCACAGGTGATTTGGCAAGTGATATATTGTCATCTCCACTCTGCAAATTGAGATAATTACAACCCAGGGAAGTTAAATTAGGGCCCTTTGAATGAAAGTGCCCATACTGTTTGTTAACTTAGTGTTTTTCTCTGGGTAAAAGTTTCTCTCTTTTCAGAGAAAAAAGGGCAGGATAAGACTTTCTTGGTAGTTACAGTATGTGTTTTCTTTTTCATTGGATTTTTTTCATACGGTATACTCTTCTCACAGGTTCCCTTCCCCCACAAGGGTATCTCCTTTGGACTGGACAAATCCTAGCTCCTTTCAGAGAAAACTCATGCGATGGGTCGAATAAACAACCCCCACCCTCCCTGAAACCTTCCTGTTGCAAGCCTTCTCTTTGGTTCCAGGTCCCTTGTTGATATGTGCCCTGGATGAAGCTCTAACCAGTGAGCAGATTCTTCCCAGTGAAAGAAATGACTGGGCCTCTTTTCTGTTTCTGCAGGAACAAACACATAACCCTACTTTTAAAAGAACATCCTTTTAACTCCTTGTTTTCTCCCCCTCTCCTTCCCAGAATGGCCTGCCTTCAGAGAACAATCCGTATGTTTTCAATGGTGACTTTGTAGACCGAGGAAACAATTCCATGGAGATCCTCATGATCCTGCTCGTTAGTTTTCTCGTCTACCCCACTGACCTGCACCTGAATAGGGGGAACCATGAAGACTTCATGATGAACCTGAGGTAACACTGACTTTAGACTTCATCTTTTATTCTCCCTCTGGAACTGCTGCTCTCTTTAGTTTCCCAGATGATGTGTGTAAAGTTAGCTGTAGAGAAGGAGAGAGAAGATGAATCGCAAGGAGAGTCTCCAAGTTCTCGCCCTCGTTCACCAACCCCCATCTTTCAGCTAAGTGTCAGCTGCTTTGAAGCTCTCCTACCTCTTCTTCCAGTCATGTCTTTGCTTCCTCTTTACTATGTCCTTTTTTCTGTCTTACTTCCCCTTCATAGTCCAGACTGCACGCTGGGTGGGCATGCCAGGTCAGGTTTGTAGGTCTGGTAGGTTGTATGAGCAGACTTAGATGGAAGTTTCTCTTGCTTCTTTTGGCTTGCTTCAAATTCTGTCTCAGAAGCTAGCACAGTGTTTTACATTGCTGCATGAATTTTTTTTTTTTGGTGTCCTGGTAATTGCTTCTGGCATAGCTGCTCATAAACATTTTTGAGAACAGCTGTAACATAGCATTTGGACTATCTGACTCACTGGAGATTTGAGGGATAAAGACTGCTTAAATGGCTTGTGAATTCTGTCTGAAAGGCACAGTAGGTAATAAATGTTTCCTTCTTTCTTTTTCTTTCCTTTTTATGGCAAACAGAAATCAATTTGTTCTAGAACAACGGAGGCTAGGAAATGTCTCCCACTTTGGGTCCTAGGCTTTTGGGTGCTGGGATCAAAGCTCAGCAAATCCCCTTTGTCTTCTGGGTAGTTTCAACACCTGACTCAAGCAGAGTTTCAGCTCTAATTCTCGAGGTGCAGTTGGCAAATGCAGAATCTCTAAAGAACAAGAATCCAGAGGTGTTATAGGAAGCCTGTTCCTGGGTGTTCTAAGAAGGAAGGCCGAGCAAACATGGGGAGCAAGTCACTCAACAGGGATCTTCCATGTCCAGGTTTCTGCCTTGAGTTCCCTTCATGATGTATTGTGGCTGGGACATGTAAGCAAATAAACCCTTTCCTCTCCAAGTTGCCTTTGATCATGGTGTTTTAGCACAGCAATAGAGAACCAAATATGATTGGGCCTGGTAGGATTGGAGATGTAAAAGATGGTTGAGTGTTGTGAAGGTATATGAGCATGTATCTAAGGATAAGAGAATATCATTGAAGAATACTGCACCTGTTTTAAAAAGAAGGGTAATTTGGAGGAGGGCCAAGAATGGCTCCAGGGAGTTCAGTTGAAGAAATGGTAGCGTCCTATGTAGACTAGCATGATAGCAATGGCGATGGCCAAAATAGACCTAGACTTTAGGCAGTAGCAGTTAAGCACCCAAGAACTTGATAGGGAGGCCTTAACTGAGGAATTAATCAAGGATGAGCAAGATTGAGTTTAAGGGCATAAAAGCATCATTCTGAATGGGAATGGATTTAGTCTGAGGTAGATTTATTTGATGTATTGTTGAGTGTGGGTCCAGAGATAGAAACGAATTATAACCTGGAGTGTCACTCTATGTATTTATTAATACTAGATATCAATTGAAAGCCTAGCTAGCTAGGGGTGAGAGTACTAAGGAAGAAATTGAAGGCAATGGATAGCCTAGGACAGAATATGAAAAATTCTAACGATAAAGGTTATGTGGAAGAAGTTAACTTGTGAGGTCATTTCAGAACACCCTAAAAGTCTGTCTCAAAATGAAAGGGAGGAAGTTTTCTAGAAGCATGGTACAGACAATGATATTTAGTGTTTCAAAAAGGGCCAGAAAGTTAAGGATACTGTCTTAGTTACTTCTCTGTTGCTATGACTACAAACAATGACCAGGACAACTTATAAAGGAAGCTATTTCATCGGGGGCTTGTTTACAGTTTCAGAGGGTGAGTCCATGATCATTGTGGTGGGAAGCATGGTGGCAAGCTGGTAGGCATGGTGCTGGAGTTGAAGCTGAAAGCATACATAGCTTACATAGTATCCACAAGCAGCAGCAGAAAGAGAGAGAGGGAGAAGGAGAGATACAGACAGACAGACACAGACAATGACAGACACAGAAGAGAAATAGAAACAGAGACAGGCAGACACACAGAGAGTGAAAAACAGACAGACACAGACACAGAGAGATAGAAACAGAGACAGACACACACACACACACAGAGAGAGAAAGACAGATACATACATACATACACAGAGAGAGGAGATGAGGCCTGGCTTGATATACTTTCTCTAACAAGGCCACACCTCCTAATCCTTCCTAAACGGTCTACCAAGTGGGAACCAAACATTACATATATGAACCTATGGGGGCCATTCTCATTCAAGGCACCACAGATGGCAGGATGTATATTGGTCTAACAATGTGATGTCTTTGGTGAGTACGGGGAGGGATTTCCTCTTGAAAAACACGGTGTTATACTGGAAAATCCTGACATGATGTGGTTTGTAGGGAAATGAGTGGGGAGTGTGCTCTGTTCCTCCTTTACCTGTTGGCTATGGAGAGTACACATTATTATCTGGGTGTGGTGTTGCATGTCTTTAATCCCAGTATTAAAGAGGAAGGGCTACCTGAAAAGGATACGCAATACTATCCTAAAGCAAGAAAAAAAGAATTGAAAACTCTCCCTTAGCCAGGCATTAAAATTCCTGATATTTTCTATTAAAACCCTTAATACCATTCATTCCCATGATCCATGTCATAGCAATATTTTTTAAATGAAAGCTCTTCTCCATCCAGCTTTCTCTAAATGTCATTGCATGCCTCTCAAAATCCCTGTAGCCTTTACGTAGCTATGGTACGCATGTGTTAAGTTGTCTTGCATTGTTCTACAAGTATCTATTTTCTTTCCCCAGTTATACTCTAAGCTTCTTGAGAATAGAAGTTGTGCTATTGATTGCTTTTGTTCTTTCTCACAATGCTCCAGAGAGACTCTGCTAAGTACCACTGAAGTCTATAGTTTCTTGAGTTCCTACTATTTGGTAATAGTGAGACATCAATGGCTCTCTTTTTAGCAATAATTAATAGTTTAAAATATGTTTTTCAGGTATGGATTCACAAAAGAAATTTTACATAAGTACAAGGTAAGACTCATACTTGTTTTTCTGTGAAAAAAAAAAAGGAGCTAAAGAAAACCAGATTGTTGCTTTAAGAAAGGTGATGGGCTAATTAGTTAGAATCTGTGCCAATAAAATAATAACCACAGCAGGAACCCCTCACCGTGGTAGAATCTTAGATTTTCTTTTTCATTATGACTGTTGGATCAGTTTCAGCATAGCTATGAATATATTGCACTGCTTTAAAGGTACCCATCCTTGATATTTAATTCAGGCAGGCAGACAGAGAAATTACCAATATAGTGGAGGGGTTTTATACATGCAGGAGGCATAGCATCCCTCATTGGGGATACCACATAGGGAACTACCAGAGTCAGAGAGAGAGAGAGACAGAGACAGAGAGACAGAGAAAGACAGAGACAGAGACAGAGAGAGACAGAGAAAGACAGAGAGACAGAGAAAGACACACAGAGAGAGAGAGAGAGAGAGAGAGAGAGAGAGAGAGAGAGAGAGAGAGAGAGAGGCAGATGGAGCCAGAAGAAAATACAGACGAGAACATTTGTTAGGTTTCATGGGAGAGAGAGGGCAAAGCTCCTCAGTGTTGAAAGCTGAGTAGTTCGCACAACGGCAGCCAGCTGTGGGGCATGACGGTCGTTGTCGGTAGTTGTCTACTATCTTGCTCTGGGTTGATTGGTTAGCGCACCAGAGAAGGGGCCCTGAGTTAGAGTCCAGGAAAAGAATTCCTTAGTGTGGATTCTGAAATGGCTGGTTTGTACATGAGAACCATCATGTAGGATCTCTAGGGATTAGCTCTGACAGGGGCAGTTTCCTCCCCAAGGAAGACCCAAAAATGTCAAAGTATCAACAATACAGGATGGAAACGTCCCATGCTAAATACTCGCTAGCTGGTTCATAGCTCCCTGACTGTTTCCTTTGGTTGGTATGGAAAACTTGGTTTTTGTCTACATATTGAGACTATTCACTTAACTGGACGTATCAGGAAACTAAAAACTTACTCAGGCTCTTATTACAGCTACATGGAAGAAAAATCTTGCAAGTCCTGGAAGAAGTCTATACCTGGCTCCCAATTGGCACAATTATTGACGATGAAATCCTGGTCATACATGGTGGGATATCAGAGTCTACAGACTTGAATACACTCCGCCACATACCAAGAAATAAAGTAAGAAGTACTATTGCACGGATCCGACATTTATAATGGAATATGCTTCTTTTTATCCGTCATTTTAAAGAGTTCTGGGCTTTGGTGGTGTAGATGAGACAATTAGTAAAAGTCTGAAAAAAAAAGCTATGACGGCATGCATGACAACTAGGTGGTTTTTCTGTGTACCATGCATTTCCAACATGGAATCCTGTTGGAAACGCAAAGCCGGGATGCATTAGCACATCAGATAGCTTCTAAAGGTGAGGTTTCAGAAGTAGAGTTTACATGAATTCACTTACACTGTAATTCAGCACTGTTGTCTTGTGAGTAAGTATAAACTTCCTTGGCACTTCCTATTATCTTACTGTCACCGCTGTGACCACCATCCATTAACAGAGCTTCCTTGACTGAAACCCATAAAACAGCGACAGCTCCTTCCCTCTCCTTCTAGCCCCGCTGACCAATATTTCTTGTATGAGCTCTAGGTAACTCATATAAGGAGACTCATATAGAATTTATTTCTAAGTTACTATCCTGTCCCTTTATTTCAACTGAGCAGATTATTTTAACTCTAAATAATCACTCAGTACAACACAGTCAGGACAGGAGCCTGCACAGACCCTCTCAGGGAACTGGCTTTATGGTAGCTATAGGATTCCACACCTACTAAAGGGTTGTTGGGCTGTACCTTACACACGAGAGCTATTTTCCTCCTTTACCAAAGGCAAGCTGAAGCCCCAAGCCTAGAAGTAAACAAGGGGCCAGGTGGGCATGAAGACCAGCAGCAGCTATAGAACAGAGGGTGCTATATGGTCCAACTGGGAAACTTGAGCCACTGTCTTTACAGACCAATACTAACTAGCCAGTCATTCTGGGAAGGTGGGGTCTGAGACTGATAGAGACAGAAATGTGATCACAGTTGCACCTTGAGGTGTGGGAGCCTCCATACTTTTATACGCATGTGAATGATAATATTGCCATCTTCTCATTAACTTTCCACTTTAACCTCTAGGCTAGATAGCTCCTCTTTATGCACTCTCAAGACCTTTATGCATAGCTTTCGTAAGTTGCCAAATTTAAGTAGGGAATGGTAATGCTATTTTCTTACTATATTCTTATGCTTCTCTAATCCCTGCCAAAACCCCAGTACCTGAGATGTAATAAGTATGTCTTATTTGTTGAATACTTCTTTAGAAATGGAAGACCAAAGCAGGGCAAAATAAAAATGGATAGGAATTTTCTTAGAACTTCTTTCCCTGGTCTATGGTGATGCCCCGAGGAGGGCAGTCTTCACCACAAGCAAGGCCTCAAGATGTCAAAGTAAGATTCTATAAGACAAAGGCTCTGGTTTCGTAGTGTTCAAATTCCCAAGCAGGAGTATAGAGAAGGATGGTTCGTAGGACTCCCAGGAGAAAACGGTGCCTATGGTGGTGTAGAGAAAGCAGCCTGATACTAAAGAGCTTTGAAAACTACAGAGCTCCGTGTTCTAAAGTGGCCATGAGGCCATGCCTAACGAGCTTATCAGAAATAAATTATGTGGACGTAATCCTGGAAGGTCTTCCCGGAATATTCTGTTCTGCCTAAAACCTAAGACCATTTACTTGGGGAAGAAAATGTAGGCTATGAACTAGTGATTAGTAGCTGAGATTGAGTTTCTAAACCAATTTTATGAGGACACTATAGAATAAGACTTAGTTTTAGTCTTGAAAAATAAAAACAGAATTTCGTACCAGGGGTTATTGGAGAAGCGAAGTATCTGCCACAGAGATGTCCATCACTAAACTACAGCCACCAGTGTAACAGAAGTATTATTTAAAGTTTAATTAAAGGATTATTAAAAGCATCTGTGGGCCAGTGAAATGGAAACGGCTCTGCAGGTAAAGATGTTTGTCCCCAAGCCTAACAACCTGAGCTCAGTCCCTGGAATTTACTTGATAAAAGTTGTCTTCTGATCTCCATTATGTGCTGTGGAGTGTGGCACACACACACACACACACACGCACACACACACACACACACACACACGCACACACACACACACACACACACAAATAAATAAGTGTAAAACTTTTTAATTGCTTTGAATGAAAGTATAATGCTTAGAAGAGACAAGAACAAAATTCCAATCTCAGATTATATAAGGCAATCAAGTGGGCTTATCATGTTGTACTTTTAAACCATTTTCTTTTTTCTTTCTTTTTTTTTCTTTTTTGGTTTTCCAAGACAGGGTTTTTTTTCTGTGTAGCCTGAATTGTCCTGGAATTCACTTTGTAGACCAGGCTGACCTCAAACTCTCAAGAGATCTGCCTGCCTTTGCCTCCCAAGTGCTGTGATTAAAGGCGTGAGCCACCATTGCCCAGCTTTCCTTTGCAAAGAAACAGATTTACAACTAGGTTTAGACAACATGATCAGTTGCTGACAGGTCTGGCTAAGAACTATACTGAATTTAGGTTGAAGAACTTCCAGGTTTTCAACTTGTGTTCCCTGGGAGAACTCTCATGGACATGGATGTGGGTTTTTTTCCCCCTCGTTTATCTGGGAAAATACAGCAAGCAAATCAAATGCATACCCCCTTTTGAAAGATGTTTCTGAGCCAGGCGTGGTAGCACATGCCTTTAATTCCAGCACTCAGGAGGGAGAGGCAGGTGGATTTCTGTGAGTTTGAGACCAGCCTGGTCTGCAGAGTGAGTTCCAGGGCAGTCAGGGCTACACAATGAAACCTTGTCTCAAAAAACAAACAAACAAAATATCTGTTTCTGAACTCCTGAAAGCCCCAGGCGTAGAGAAAGGTGCAGAAGGAGGCCGGTCTCTCCTACATTTCGCATCTTCGATTTCCTTCGACGGTGCCATGCAATATGTCTAGGACCTACATGCGGGCCTCTTGGCTCTCTTAGAATTTCTGATGCGAAGCTTTCCCCATAAGGTAACATCTTTAGTTGCAAAATACAGAAACTATTTTAATAGGCCCACCTTAGAGACATTAGTAAATTAACAACGCGTATAAAGTGAGTGAGATTAAGGGGGGGGGGGGGGGCTGCATTTTTTCCGAGTTGACTGCACACAGTACAGACAGATTTCCAACCATAGCTGAAGTGCCCGCAAATGGCATTTAACTAAAGCATGATTCTATGTTTTACAGATGAGATCTGTGCTGATGCCACCGATGTCAATAAATCGAGAACATTCCGCCGACTTAAAAAGAAGTAAATCAGGTTTGAGCACTTGTGCTCCTGGGAAGGCTGAATCCTCTACGGACCTAACAAAACATGAATGGGAACAAGTAGGTAACCGAAACATTCACCAGAGTGGTAACAACAGCTTGTGATGATGTTGTCCCTTATGAAATGCAGGTTAAAGTGACTTCACCTCTGTAGGCACGATGGATCGATCATCTTCTCTGAATCCATCTCTATATTGTGCATCTAACCAAGTTTATTTCTAGACTCAAAAAAGAAATCTAGAACTCATGGAATTCATTCTGAGAGAGAAACTCATTTCTTAAAACAGCCCTTGTGGTTTTAAGTCCATTAAAAAAAGAATACTAGGTACTTCTTTGTTTGTTGGTAATGACAACACTCAAATAGTAAAGGCATTCACCTATGGTAACCTAAATAATTACCTAAGAAGCCATTGGACTAGCACTTATCCTGCCTCGATGGAGTTCCAGCAGTATGTAGTTTAAAATGATTTAATTTTTAAAGATTATAATAACATCATCTCCCCTTCCCTTTCTTCCCTCAAACTCCTCCCATGGAGCCATAGCTTTCATTTAAATTCATGGCCTCTTTTCCTTTAATTCAGTGGTTCTCAACCTTCCTAATACTGTAACCCTTTACTATAGTTCCTCATGGGTTGCTAATCCCCAACCATAAAATTATTTTCATTGCTACTTCCATAATTTGCTTTTACTTCATAAATTTTTGCGGTTGTTATGAACCATAATGTAAATATCTGTGCTTCCCAATGGTCTTAAGAGACCTCTGTGAAAGTGTTCTTCAACCCTCCAAAGGAGTCATGACCCCCAGGTTGAGAACCACTGCTTTAATTGTCGTTGCATATATCTATACTTATCTATCTATGACCTAAATAATGCATACATCCTGTTTAGTCCATGCAGTTCTTTGTATTTTTATATAGTGCTAGAGATTGAACACAAGCTTTGTGTAGGCTAGGAAAGCACTCTAATAATACACTATATATGCCAGGCTTTAGTTTTTTGGAGACAGGGACTTGATGCATAGCCGAGGTGGCCTGGAATTTGTAATCCTTCTGCCTCTGCCTCCCTAAAGCATGTGCCATCATGTTCCCCTCATATGTACATTTACTTTATGTAAATTTTGAGTATTCATAGTAGTGGTAAAAAGGAAGAAGAAAGATTTCCGTGAGAATTTACTTTCATATACTTTATAATGGACTGCTCATCCGTTATCATATACATGAAATATTTTCATATATATATATTCCTATATAGGGTTACGTACCTAAAATAATGTATGCTGTACTTCAAGGGTAAGTTAGCATGCTTTCCAGATGAAACTTTACCTTTAAAGTCTATATTCATGTAGGAATTGAAAGCTTAATCCTTTCCTAATAAAATATGGCCCCTTATCTTCCATGTTTCCTCCTTTATTATACTACAAGTCAAGTCACACTCATGAAATGTGAATTCATTCTACAGGAGCCAGATATGATTCCGTTTGAAATACAAGTGTTGTTTTTGTCATAAGAACCAGAACTTAAAGGTGTTACATTGTATTTATGTGTGTGTAGGGTACAATTGTGCCATTATTGGAATTCAGTGAGAAGGAAGGAAGCCCTTGGGGTGATTCTTCTTTGGGAGATTTTAATTCTCACCTCAACTAGTCATCAAATACTCACTGTCTGAGCTGAGCCTGGTATAGAGTGGCTCTGGTCTGAGCAGGTACTGATCCTTCTGCTCTTCTTTCTGCCCCTCTGTCTTCTCTCTCATGTATCTCCACGTCTCCCTTTATATCAAACCTACAAATGACTGCAGAGTCCAGTTTAGGGCAGCTGCAGTATCTGAACCTCTTCTCAAGACCTGCTTTAGACTTACTAGAATCACTAGAGATTTTCTATTGAAGGGACTTCACAAGATGGCTCAGCTTGGTGTGCAACCATGAGGTCCCAACTTCACATCCCCAGCACTGACATAAAAAAAAAAATTGGTTGTGGCAGCACCCAACTGTAATCCCAGCACTGGGGAGGCAAAGGCAGGTGGATCTCTGGGGCTGGTTGGCCAGTCAATCTAACTAAATTGTTAAGCTATGGGTTTAGTGAGAGAGGAGAGTAGTTGAGGAAGACACCTGATGTAGACCTGGCTTCTACACACATAAAAATTTCAGTTGTGTGTTTTTTCTCCAAAGAAACATGCAGATGTGGAGAGGTTGGGGTGTAGCTCAGAAGGATTATATTGGCCTAGCCTACATGAGGCCCTGGATTCAATTCTCTGCACACATAGGAACAACAGAGAAAACTATGGAAACTAATAGACTTTTAGAATAATTGTCTAGTAGAACACTGACATACTTTGCAGGTTAGTTGACCCAAATGCCTGATTGCGGGATAGACAGATTTCTCAAGGTTGTCACTCTTTAGTGATAAAGAGGTTTGCAGGTTTTTTAAACTACTCTTTCTTAAGTTTGTTTTACAGTCGTAGTTTTAAAGCTTGAGTCAAATATTAAATGCAGATCGGAGACTCTACAACCTCTGATTTTTCTGTGAAAACGTTCTTAGAAATTTGAGTCTTCAGTCCTGGGTATTGTGTGACCTGCATTTGCTTCTTCAAGCCACCAAAGGAAATATTAAGCTGAAAAAAATCATTGTGGATTTAGAACATCTTCTGGAATCCAGTCAATAGGTGAACCTACTGCTGAATTGGAAAATGGTCTTATGGAGGCCAAAGATCAAAGAAGCTTTAGGGGATGTTCTTGGGCAAACACAAACAACCATGCCCAGCTAAATTCAGAGGAGAAAGTAGTTCCTTTCAATAAACACTTATTAGGTTTCCTTAAGGAGTACAAAAGGTCAAAAACCTGAGTCAGTGTTAAGAACACTTAATACGTGTTCATTGGAAGGCGCTACTTTCTCTTCTGAATTTAGCCAGGCATGGTGGTTCATGCCTGTAACACCAGTTACCTTTAATATTTCTGCTAAATAATATGGGATAGAAAAAAGATGATAGACTGTTACTTGTAAGTATAACCCTAATTTATTTTATTGTTCCAAGATTATTGACCTTCTGTGGAGTGACCCCAGAGGCAGAAAAGGCTGTTATCCAAATACAAGCCGAGGAGGGGGCTGCTATTTTGGACCAGACGTTACTTCCAAGATTCTTAATAAAAACCAATTGAAGATGCTCATTAGGTCTCATGAGTGTAAACCTGACGGGTATGAAATCTGTCACGATGGGAAGGTGAGCTGGCATCATGACTGAAATCCTCATAGCCATCCTTGCCACAGCCTGGTCTTCTCCACACTGTGTTGTCCTACCTAAAAGGCCAAGCAATGTCTTCACTACTTCTATCTTTACTACTCCCAGAAGCAGAAATTCTGATGTGTGAATGTAGTAATTACTCTTCTCAGTGTCATAATCAAGTGACGAGAAGCAGCTTAAGGAAGGCTTTATTTTGCCTCACAGTTTGAGAGTATAGATAGTCACATGATGGAGAAGACATGGTGGCAGGCCACTTGTCACATCTCAGGTGACCAGGAAGTAGAGAGAGATGTTGATGCTCAGCTGACATTCTCCTTACACCTTTTTTGAGACAGGGTTTCTCTATGAAGCCCTGGCTGTCCTGGAACCTGTTCTGTAGATTAGGCTAGCCATGAACTCACAGAGATCTGCCTGCCTCTGCCTCCCGAGTGCTGGGATTAAAGGCACGAGTCTTTCTTTTCCCTCTCATCCCCTTTTAGTTCTATCCAGGACCCCATACTAAGCGGTGGTGCCATCCACATTCAGGGAAAATCTTCCTCCCTCAATTAATCCTTTCTGGAAATGTCCTCAAGAGACACACCCAGAACTGTGCTCTGCTCAGGAATGTGATCTAGTTGACAGATGAAATGAACCATCACAGTGTATATCACAGTCGTACCTCTTTCCAACTCAGTACCCAAATATATCACTTTAAACCATAACAGTGACACTAAGTATTCTTGCTCTCTCTCCACCCCCTTTCTCTCTCTCTGTCTCTGACACACATATGCACACACACTTCATTTTTTACAAATTGTAAGCCAGTTCTCACAATACACAGTGCAATTCCCACAGACCACACTTCCCCTTACAAAGCATATCCAATCCCGTTTTCTCTCTTCTTTTGCACATCCCCTGTATAGGACAGAAAACACAGTACACTTCTTTCAGCTCATTGAGGAGGTGGTCACTAGCAAGTTGCTTACTGTGGTCAGTTTAACTACTGCCATCAAAATGGAGTGTCTTGTTGTCCAATTATGTCAATAATACTGGAAGAGGACTAAGAAACTGGTTCTTACCATCAGTTGTCCTAGGATGGTTCTTTTTGGTTTTCTTTATAGTGAATAGAAGCAAGTTACAACGAATATGGAATCCTTTGGCATTTCCTTCTACTCTATCAATTCAGTTTTGGCTCATACTAACACCGCAAGATAAATAAGCAAAGTATTATTTAGAATGTATTTGTAATTAGAAAATAGCCGTGGTTCATCTGAAGTGACATCCTTATTAGACCAGGACTGGATTAAACCCAGTTTCCCGTCACCAGCAAGTATTATCTTTCTATTATCTACCTACCATGCCTCCCAGGCTGACTTCTTCCTAAGGTAGTGGCCACAGTCCCATTATGTCTCTGCTCTTAAAGCACTGGATTCGTCCAGCTCTGAACCTTCTAAATCATTCAGCTTTGTGCAAAAGAAAAAGCATGAGCTTCTAACCAAATTTTATTTTGAGCCCACAGATATCACGAGGTAAGAAAATATGGAATTTATCTCTGTTGAAAATTAGTATTTATGAAACTTAACATTAAAGATAATTCTAAGATCTGGCACTAGATTAGTGTGTAGGAATTCAGGGCCATACCTGGGGCACTGAACGAAAAGCTAGGAGTTAGTAATGGAGACACCGACTGGAGACTTTTCCTTCAAGGGAATCATATGAAATCATGTCAGACCCAGATAATTTGCAGATTATGAGGTGGTTTTTTTTGAGAATTGAGCTATTTCTGGCTTATATTGAATGACCTTTTGAGAATTAACTTAATGAACTTGATCCTCTTTTTCTTTAATCAGGTCATTACTTTATTTTCTGCTTCTAATTATTACGAAGAAGGCAGCAACCGAGGAGCTTACATCAGACTAAGTTATGGTACAACTCCACAATTCTTCCAGTACCAAGTAACTAGTTCATCATGCCTGAGCCCTCTTCACCAAAGGTAGATAGCCCTAAAAATACTAAGGACTATATTTGTGACAGAGTAGAACCAGACCTGAGTGACTAAAAGCAGCTTTGCCATTGAAGTTTCTAGCCTTTGTTGTTGAGTTATCTGTTTCTTTAATTCTTTCAGTTTGTGCTTCATGTAGTTTTCGGTTTTGCTGTTAGGTTCATTATCTTCTATCATTAAGAATTGCCCCCTCCCTTACCTCTAGATTTTAGTTACAGTTTCTAGTTACCCTTTTCATCTGATGTCTACTTTGTCTCCTATTAGCATGACAGTCTTCATTTCGAAGCCTCATTTGAGTCTCATAATCCCTGTCTTTTTAGTTGTTTACTTAATTTACTTACATATGCTGTTATTACTCATATTTTCATCTGTCATTTTATCTTTTTGATACATAGTCTACACATTGTATTAGTGGGTTAAACATTGAAAAATTTTTTTAAAAAAGTCAGTTCTATAAATGTACAGACATTTTTGTTATCATATCCCCAAATAATATAATACACCAACTGTTTGTATTAAATGGAATTATAAACACTCTATAAATTAAGGTATATAAGAAGTTGTATATCAATTATATGTAAATATGGTATCAGTTTATGTAAGGAAATTGAGAAGCCTTAGAATTTTTTATGTGACAGACACATAGCAACAAGAACCTGCATTATTGTTTCCAGATACAGAAGTTTGCATGTTTTATAAATATTGATTGAGAGCAACACACCTATGTACAGTGCCTTCTGTCTAATCATATGTATTCACAGATACATATCCACAGTGCAATGTTGGCTCAGCCAGGATCCACCTTGCATACATGCTTAAACAAATGACTATCAAACCAGAACTATTGTGTCAAGGGGACTTTCCATACATAGGTGGATAGCTTTTCTGAAGAGACAGAATTTAGGTGGTGCACATCTTTCTAAATGGTATCAGCATTGTTTGCAAATGACAGATTCCAGTGCTTCAACTTAGGGGTTAGTTCACTGTGACCCAGGAACTGGGAGTGGAGCCCCTCAACGTGCCTTTAAGTTAGGAAAGAAATGAAATTCTCAAAACGTGGGGAGTCTCCTTTGCTTCCCTAAGAACAAAAGTCACAATGAAATCAGATCATTTTCTTCATAAAACCTACATGATAAACCCAGCAATGACCACATGACAAAATTAGGATCATTCAGTTTCTGAAAATCTATCATTTTGTTTGTTTGTTTGTTTGAGTCAGGGTTTCTCTTTGTAACCTGGAGAAAAGCTCTAGATTTTTTTCATTTCTCTTTTATTCTTGTTTTATTTTATTTTAATTTATTAGATTTTTTTAAAGGCCAGTCCAAATTCTCACTCCCTCCCCTCCTCCCATTCCCTCCACACACCAAGCCTTAGATTTTTTTTTATTTTTTATTGAAAAAAAATTTCCGCCTCCTCCCAGCATCCCATTTCCCTCCCCCTCCTCCCACCCTTCTCCCCCTCCCCCACTCCTCTCCCCCTCCATCTCCAGTCCAAAGAGCAGTCAGGGTTCCCTGCCCTGTGGAAAGTCCAAGGTCCTCCCACCTCCGTCCATGTCTAGGAAGGTGAACATCCAAACTGGCTAGGTTCCCACAAAGCCAGAACATGAAGAAGGATCAAAACCCCATGCTATTGTCCTTGGCTTCTCAGCAGCCCTCATTGTTCGCCATGTTCAGAGAGTCCAGTTTTATCCCATGCTTTTTGAGTCACAGTCCAGCTGGCCTTGGTGAGCTCCCAATAGATCAGCCCCACTGTCTCAGTGGGTGGGTGGGTGCACCCCTTGTGTTCCTGACTTCCTTGCTCATGTTCTCCCTTCTTCTGATCTTCGTTGGGACCTTGGGAGCTCAGTCCGGTGCTCCAGTGTGGGTCTCTGTCTCTATCTCCATCCATCGCCAGAAGAAGGTTCTATGGTGATATGCAAGATATTCATCATTATGGCTATAAGATAGGGTCATTTCAGATTCCCTATCCTCAGCTGCCCAAGGAACTAACTGGGGACATTGCCCTGGGCACCTGGAAGCCACAGTAGGTTCAAGTCTCTTGCCAACCCTAAGGTGGCTCCCTTAACTAAGATATGTGCTTCCCTGCTCCCCTATCCAACCTTCCTTTATCCCCAATCATCCCGTAAGTTCCCCCCATCCTCTCCTTCTCACTTTTCTCTCCCCATCTCCCCTTACCCCCATCCCACCCTACCCACAAGATCCCAATTTTTTTGCCTGGCAATCTTGTCTACTTCCCATAGCCAGGAGGATAACTATATGTTTTTCTTTGGGTTCACCTTATTTAGCTTCTTTAGGATCACAAATTATAGACTCAGTGACCTTTATATATGGCTAGAAACCAATTATGAGTGAGTACATCCCATGTTCATCTTTTTGGGTCTGGGTTACCTCACTCAGGATAGTGTTTTCTATTTCCATCCATTTGCATGCAAAATTCAAGAACTCATTGTTTTTTACCGCAGAATAGTACTCTAATGTGCATATATTCCACACTTTCTTCATCCATTCTTCCATTGAAGGACATCTAGGTTATTTCCAGGTTCTGGCTATTACCAATAATGCTGCTATGAACATAGTTGAACAAATGCTTTTGTCATATGATAGGGCATCTCTTGGGTATATTCCCAAGAGTGGTATTGCTGGGTCCAGGGGTAGGTTGATCCCGAATTTCCTGAGAAACCGCCACACTGCTTTCCAAAGTGGTTGCACAAGTTTGCATTCCTACCAGCAATGGATGGAGTGTGCCCCTTACTCCACAACCTCTCCAGCAAAGGCTATCATTGGTGTTTTTGATTTTAGCTATTCTGACAGGTGTAAGATGATATCTCAAAGTTGTTTTGATTTGCATTTCCCTGGTCGCTAAGGAGGTTGAGAATGACCTTAAGTGTCTTTTGGCCATTTGAACTTCTTCTGTTGAGAATTCTCTGTTCAGTTCAGTGCCCCATTTTTCCATTGGATTAATTAGCATTTTAAAGTCTAGTTTCTTGAGTTCTTTATATATTTTGGAGATTAGACCTTTGTCTGTTGCGGGGTTGGTGAAGATCTTATCCCAGTCAGTAGGTTGCCTTTTTGTCTTAGTGATAGTGTCCTTTGCTTTAAAATCTTTTGTATCCTAGAATCTACACTCTGTGAACACAGATGTCTGTATCTCAGGACTCTTTTGTTCTTCCGTTCCTCCTTCAAACTCATTTTTTATAAATGATTGAGGGTAGAAGTTTATGTTGAGGTAGTTAACTACGTGTTCTAGCGTTGATCAAAGGATTGTCTTTTCTACTAAATTGTTCTACCTCTGTTGCCATATGTGTTTTTATAATAGTTGGATCTATTTTTTGAAGTTCCTGTTATGTTCTACTCGTGTACATATTTGCTTTTATCACAGTCAGAATGGCAGAGTTTTTCTGTCAGGACTGTCAGTTTCCCAATAAATGCACAGAGACTTAATATTAATTATAAATGCTCAAACAATAGCTCAGGCTTGTTGCTAGCTAGCTCTTACGACTTAAATTAACCCATATTTCTTATCTATGCTCTACCATGTGGCAGTACCTTTTTATTTATCATGGCATGTTCATCTTGCTTCTCTCCTTGTCTCCTGGCAACTCAACCCTCCTTCTTTCCCGTGCTCTCTTTTTGTTTGCAAGTTCCTTTTAACTTCTACCTGTCCATTCAACCCTTTATTAGACAAATGAGATCAACAAATATTCTCAATGTACAAAAAGATTATTCCACGGCACTAATGTAATGGTAAATTTTGGTATCTTCATGGATCTAATCTACATGGGAAGTAGAAAAAGATAAGATCTCCTGAGTGAATTGGGAGCATGGGAACTATGGGAGAGGGTAGAAGGGGGAGGAAGGAAGGGGAGTAGAGAGAAATATATAGCTCAATAAAATCAAGAAAAACAATTTAAAAAATTTTGGTTCCTTTTATCAAATAATTATTCAATATTCACATGAATCTTTCAAATTCCAGAAAACTCTATCTATAATCTTGCTGCTATAATTGCTGACCCTGTGAGAATGTGAAACTGGATCATAAATGAAATACAAAATAAAAGAAATTAACAAAATGGCTGAGCATGATGGTGTATGCATGTAATCTCAGCGCACAGGAGTCAGAGGCAGGAGGACTTTGGATTGTAGGCTAGTTTAAACTCTGTTTAAAAAAGAATTTTCAGGTCATCAAGATAGCTCAGCAGGTAAAAGCACCTCCTGTGCAAGCCTAGTTAGTGCCTTGTGTTCGAGTCCTGGAACATACATAAAGGTTTAAGGGAAGAACCAGCTCCACAAAATTGTCTTCTGATCTGCTCACATATACTGCACACAACCCGTTCACCATATCAAGTTGTCAAATACAAAACATAAAATGTCTAAGAAATGAAAAAGGAACAATATACTAATACTACTACTAATAATAATTTTTCAAATGTTTAACAAATCTCCAAAATATATACACAAATATACTACATTTACTATCTAGCAATATAGTATGTATAAACAGACAATTTATTTAATGTAGAAACTGGTATGTGGTAACATAGCACATTAAAATTAAGTAGAAGCTAATGATTTATTTAAGTTTCACTGAAATGCTGTTTTCTTAACATAGGGTGAGTGCTATGGAATTCAGTGCCTTCAAGATATTGAAAGAAAGAATGCTTTCACGAAAAACTGATCTCATCAGTGCTTTCCAGCTCCGTGACTATGGGAGAACAGGTAATAACTTATTTATCATTTCTTAACATTCTGGCTATATACAGAGCAGGTTTTCTTCAATGGGATTTTAGTTCTTCTTTGTTGTTAGAAAGGAACGGTAGAAAATAAAGAATCCATTCACTAAAAAAATATCAGAATGTATCTCCTTTTCAGTAAGCTTCTTCGAATTTAAGAAACTAACAGCCCTGAATTAGACTTCTCTTCTGGAGGATGCAGAATCATAATATGTTTGTCAGCTTCCCAGTATCTTAGTCTCATGACTGCCATTCTTTTGAACAATTATTTGAGCTTGGTATAGAGGCACATGCCTGAAATTCCCAGACTGAGGCTGAGGCAGGAGAATGATGAGTATGAGGTCAGCTTGGGCTACACGGAGAGATTCTGTCTTTAAAAAGTACAGTCATAACAAAAAGATGATTTGAATCATGTGTGGAAGCATGAAGCAACAATTAAGCACCAAAGGCTAGACTGTCTTGGCATGAAGGCTAATGTTGCTCTAGCAACCATCCTGATATGAGATTCTAGCACGGTAGAAAAAGAGAAAAGATGAATTTTGGATTTGTGTGCCTTCAAAGTGACTAAAAAAATGTCCCCAACTGCCTCTTTGAAGAGAACATCCTTAATTGTAGCCACTGGTGTATTCGGAGGTTAGCATCAATTAGTGTGCGCTTGCAATTAAGGCCTGACTACTGAATAAATGAGGTGAGCTGCAATGACAGAGAGACAACAATGACAAGAACAAAACCCAGCAAATAACAGAGCTAGTTTCTCCCAAGGAAACCAGCTGTGGGAACTGTCAAATACAAAATAGAAAATACCTAAGAAAGGCACGGATGAGAACCGCGGATATGTGCTTGAAAGATCTGAACTATGATATGATTTGAAGAAGTATCAAATACTTATAGCACTATGTTTATTAAAATAAAGAGGAAACAGCGCTGGTGCTGCTTACCTGTAATGCCAGCAGTTGGCAGGTGGTGGCAGGAAGTCAGGAATTTGAGGCCAGCTGGGCTACATGAGTCCTGGCCTCAAGCCAAAAACAAAACCCCAGAGAGTGAGAGAGTGCTCATAATGAATGTGTTTAAGAGAAGGTTAGCATCAGGAATTAGATTGAGAGCTAGGAACTTCCAAGGCCAGCCTAAACTTATAGTAACCCCCAAGGATAGCCTGAGCTACATAGTCACTCACACCCCATCTCAAAAAATTATTATGTACAGCAAAAATGAACAAAACATATAGTCAGGATCTAAGTCTATCGTTTATCAGGATACAAGGAAGGAAGACTAGAGAGAGTGTAAGGGAGGCAGACTATATTTAACACGATAATGCCTACAGACCCGTGACAGAGTCCTAGAAATCAAGAGGAACAATGATTCTCAAACAGGATAAATAAAATTAAATCTGCACTCCCATCCACTTGTAATGAGGATGCAGAGCACCAATAGAGAAGAGGGCATTCAAATGTAAGCAGAGAGGAAATACAGATTGCTAAAAAGATACAGCAGTTAGACTGATAGACTAATCAGCAACTGAGAAAAAAAGCCAGTAGATAGTGGATCATATAAACAAAGATTGAAAGTTATATTTAGAAAAATGGCATGAAAACATTAACAGAAACACAGCTGGAAGTACTCTGTTAATAGCACAGAAAGTAGATTCTGAGGAAATACATGTTGCTAGACATGAAAAGGGACACTTCATGATGGCAAACATTTAATTTGCCACTTGAATTTATTCTGCATGTTTGTGTTCCTACTGATATAACCTCAAAATATGTGAAACAAAACTGACAGAGCAATGAGCAGAAATAGAAAAATTTGCCATCATAGTGGGAGACTTTAATATTCCTTCTTTAGTAACTAAAGAGACAGACCAAAGAAAATGCCCTGACAAGTGCTACAGCTCTATATAATCTAAACATAAAAATTCCTTTTGGTGGCACACTCCTGTAATCCCAGTCAGCACTCGAGGCAGAGGCAATGGAATCATTATTTTGATACTAGTCTGTGATATATAACAAACACACACACATGCGCACACACATATGCACGCGCGCACACAGACACTTTTAGAAATGAGAAACATACTTCTGAGTAGTCCTTAGATCAAAGAAGAAATCATAGTAGAAATTAAAATACTCAAGCTGAATGATAATGTAAATTCACATGTAAAGTTTACAGAATACAAATTACAGAAACATTGGTCACTTTGAATGCATCTATTTTAAAAGATGAAACTGTTATCAACTAATAAGAAAATAGTTCTTTGAAGAAACTGGTAAACTTGATAAAACAGAGAGAGAGAGAGAGAGAGAGAGAGAGAGAGAGAGAGAGAGAGAGAGAGAGAGAGGAGCAAGCTAGTACACAAATTAGAGAATACATATTCAAGTACAAATAACCAAGAGTAAGATAGAAAGAGATGCTATTATGAAATTTATAATCATTAAGATCATTAGATACATTATGAAAATTTATCTAGCAATGTATTAGAACTTTACATCAAATGGACACAGTCCTAAAATAAATTCATCCACACACACATTCTAAACAGAGACAGAAATAAACCAAAAAGCTTGATGACTGTAACTGTTAAAGAAACTGAATCAGAAAATTCGAAAGTTTCTATAACAGCTTCATTCAGCATGGCGGCAGGCATTTAAGAAAACAAGAAAGTAATTTGATCCCTTTTTCTAGAGAACAGGGACAGAGTATTTTAGGAGGTCAACCTAACCTTTGGGCTTAAACCTAACAAGAATATGGAGAAGGACAATTAAGGGCTGATCTTATTGATACATTTATATAAAAAATAAACAAAATAGTCAAATATTAGAATATCACAACCAAGTTTGGCTTTTGCTATAAATACTAGGAGCTCCAAGCTGTTTTGTCATTCCAAACCCAGTCAGTATAATTCACTATTTTAATAAAGATATCCTATAATGTACTTAAAAACAATTATTTGGTATATTTAACCCTGTTTTATGGTTTAATTTTATTTAAAATTTTTTTAGGTTTTTCAAGACAGAGCTTCTCTGTGTGTAGCCCTGACAATACTGGAATTCACTTTATAGATCAGTAGACCAGGCTGGCCTCAACTCACAGAGATCCACCTGCTTCTGTCTCCCAAGTGCTGGGATTAAAGGTTTGTGCCACTACAGGCCAGTTTATTTAAAAAATTTGAGACAAGGTCTCTAAAAAACAGTCTGGCCTCAAACTCCCTGTGTAGCTGAGGATGAATACCTGAACTGTGGATCTTCCTGCCTCCACCTCCTCTGTGCTGAGAGTATAGATTTATGCCAGCACGCCCGATTTATGTGGTACTGGGGATCGAAATCAGGGCTCTGTACATGCTAGACAAACACTCTACCAACTGAGCTCCATCCTGTGACCTGGTTTCAAGGTTTGTAAAAGCATTTAGACAATTAAGAATAAGTGTCGAATGTGGTGGCTCATGCTTCTAATTCTAGCACTAGGGAGGTGGAGGAAGGAGTATAAAGAATTCAAGGACAGCTTCAGCTACATATTGTATGCAAGGTATGAGCACTGTACACATGGTACTCAGACATACATGCAGGCAAAACATTCATATACATAAAATAAGTCTAAAAATAAAAGAGACACTATATATACATGTATTTATATATAAAAATATTTATATTTTTTATTTTATTTATTTATTAAAGATTTCTGTCTCCTCCCTGCTACCGCCTCCCATTTCCCTTCCCCTCCCCCAATCAACTCCCCCTCCCTCATCAGCCAGAAGAGCAGTCAGGGTTCCCTGCCTTGTGGGAAGTCCAAGGAATATTTATACACTTAGCAAAACCACTAGAAATAATAAAATTGTTTATTCAGAATCATTGAGTGCTGGGCATGGTGGCTCATGCCTGTCAGAAAAAAAATGAAAGGAAGATTGTAAGTTTGAGGCTAGCCTGAGCTATATAGTGAGTTCAAGGCTAGCCTGAGTTATATATTGAGGTTCTGTCTCAAAAGCCAAGGTTTGGCAATATAGCTTGGTGGTAGAATGCTTGCTTGTTGTATATACTAAGTTTCATCCCCAACAAAAAGTTGCCTCAAATAAATATATATCTTCAATAATCAGAAAAATAAAAATACTTATGGTTTAGAAAATTACAATATAATATTAAATCAAAAACAGTTGGGAAAATAGGTAAATGATATGTTAAAATATTAAAAATGAAAGTAAGTCTCTCTTCTGTTTTCAAATCTTACTTTATGTATTAGATAATGGGAAAAGGGACTTTTTCTTTTTTTTTTTTTTTTGCTTTTTGTTTTTGTTTTCTGAGACAGAGTTTCCCCGTGCGGCCTCATCTGTCCTGCAACTTTCCCTATAGCCAGGCTGGCCTCAAACTCACAGAGATCCACCTGCCTCTGCCACCCAAGTGCCTGACTACAAGGAGAATTTCTTTCATGTGACAGTAAGATTTAGAGAACAAAAACTTTCTTTACTTATTCTTTACTTGAGGTGCTAGAACCTAGTCAGACAGATCATGGAGGAGAGGAGGGGCCCTCAGTCCTCAAAACTCCCGGCTGTCACTAACTCTGTGAAGGAGCTTGCGCTTTTATTTTGTCAAATTATGTACCAATCATATGGGCCTTTGTTGTTGCTGTCAGGGAGGATTTCATTGGCGCAGTGGGCTTTTTCTATGGAGAACATTTTGGGGCTGAACTTACCATGGAGATCTCTGAGTTCACACCTGGTACACATAGATGAAGATAGAAATGTTGACTACATGTCCAGCTTCCAGGATGTCCACATTGAAAAGCCTGTCAAGGAGGTGAGTGACATGTTAGTTCCAGCTAAAAACCTGGCTCCGTCACAACACCCTTCGGACAACCTCTAAGCAACTTAGTGCTTTCAAAAATTAGGGTTGGAATTATCTAATGGATGGGAATGACAGTCTCAAGAAAGGCCAGAAGGGAATCTCCGGGGAACATGGTGAGGAGGTTGGGGAATGTGTGTATGCTCTGTCGAACAGACAAAATAAAAAACCAAAAGCTTTGTAAGCAAATCTATGTCAAATCTGACATTCTTAGTTTCAGGTGTTGTCCCGGGCAACTGTAACAACATCACCACAGTCTCTCATAAAAAAATACCACTCAAATACTCAACATGCATGTACAGACTTGCTGACATGCCCTAGAATATGCCTTAAAGTATTAGAAGATATAAAATATCTTATTAAAATGACAGTACCACAGGGACACTGATCAGAAATCATCTAACTAGTTAGCAATTCATCAGTTACTAGTTAGAACACAGCAGATGGGAACCTGGGTGATCCTTTGTAGGGAAGATGAGAAGAACAAAGAGAATCATGTAGACCAGATGGGAAAATAGGAAGAAGGCCTTGGATGGTAGCGACCGTTTACCACGGCGATTCAGATCATAGGCTTCAGCACAGAGGGGCTAAGATCCAAATATCACTACCTGACCTCTGGGAAAATTGCTTTATCTTTTTCTTTTCTGTCCTTTTTCTTTAAGATTATAGAAGATGAAATGGAACAATCCCTGTAGACTTTTCTGTAGATTTGCAGCTGTTATTTCCTGCTGTCGTATTGAGTCTTTGCCCCTGTAGAGCACATGGGCAAGTCTTTAATCAGACTCAGAGTGGTTAGGCCAAGGGACAGCTTGCCTTCTCAGATGTGAATTGGTGGTCTTAAGACCTAGTTCATGGTAAATAAACCCAGCATGCTTATTGGATTTATCCCTTAGCACCATAAAGAGATAAAAAGAATTTATGAGCTTATTTTGTATTTGTTGCATTTGCTGAAATTATTCTGTATTGGTTTTTTTTTTTTTTGGTGGGGGGGGGGGTGAAAACCTGTTAGCTCAAAGAGACAGAGAAAGCACCCAGCCGACTTTCCTCCTCTGCAGATGTCCCAGAAGGCTCTTTCTCCTACTCTGTCTCCAACAAGCCTCCTCAAACTAAAATATCCCTCCCCTCTATTTCCTGTGCCTCTCTCTGTTCATCCTCCTCACTCCCCTGTAGTCTCTATTGTTTTTTTCTATGTTTACTTCCTGTGAACTGGTTGCTTGTTCTGCCTCTTGACCTATGGTTGACTTTATTTAATCCTGCTTACGATATTCATGAAGGAGGCTCTTGGATGACAGGTGTGGGCTAGGGCAGAGGGACACCACAACTAGAAACAGGTTTGTCCAGCAAACAATACAATCTCTGGGTTCGCAATGTGATCAGATGTCCTGTAATATTTCTTTCTTTTTGTCTAAATTAAGAGGAAAGGACTTAACTCTAACACAGCTAAACTATTTGCAATAATGAAGGTATTTCTGCCAAGCTTTCTACAATGTGCAGTTGCTTGCATTTGGTAGTCCTTTTTCTTATTCAGGCTCGTGGGAACTCATCACTGACAGCCGTGGAACCTCCATGGGACCGAACTAGGCCCTTTGCATGTGGGAGACAGTTGTGTAGCTTGGTCTATCTTAGGGGCCCCTCTCAGTGGGACCAGGATCTATCCCTGGTGCATGAGCTGGCTTTTTGGAGCCCATTCCCTATGGAGGGATGCCTTGCTCAGACTCAATGCAGAAGGGAGGAGCTTGGTCCTGCCTCAAGTGAAATGTGGCCGACTTTGTTGACTCCCTGTGGGAGGCCTAACCCTTTGGGAGGAGTAGATGAGGGGTAGGCTGGGAGGGAGGTGAGGAGGGAGAGTGAGGAAGGACGGGAGGGAGATGGGTTGGAATGTAAAATGAAATTAATCCTCAGTATTCTAACACTTAAAAAATCTTGATTCTAGATGAAATCTAGTCTAACTGAAACTCTGTATAGACACCGATCTGACCTGAAAATCATATTTAATATCATCGACACTGATCACTCAGGTAAGTGAATATTGACTGGCTCAGGAGTAATACTGAACACCGATTGGTTCAGGAGAAGCAAAGGCTAGTTTGTTTCTTTGAGTTCGGGACTCAGTTTTCATTTATTTCATTTTTCATCCAACTTGGGGAAATGTAAAGAAAAAAAATAAACGAATATTTAATATTATTAGTCATTTAGTTTGGCCACAAATTCTGTACCGCAGATCATAGAGTTCTCCAGAAGCCTTTATAATCATTGATCTCACTGAATAGCTCCTTTATATAAACCACCAGCAGGGATGAGAAAGACTTGCACTTGATCGTAGCCACAAGACTGAGAACCAATTAAAGATGATTCGCTTTCTGCTGTTGTATCTTTGTTAACAGGAAAAGAGTGCTGATTTTGTTTTAAGGGATTGAAAACTCAGTTTTGATTTAGCTTTAATATATGATTACTGATTTTGTGATTTAAAAAGGCAGGGCTGGGAATATAGCTCAGTTGTAGAGAGATTGCCTGTTGTGTATGAGGCTCTGGGTACCATCCTCAGCACCCTGCCCCTAACCTCTGTGCAGAGACATCTGAGTGTGAAAAAGTATCAATAATGATCCAGGAAAATAGATTATTGCATATAAAAACAGCACCCATGGGTTTATGAGATGACCCATCAGGCAAAGTTGCTCACTGCTGACCATGATGGTCTGAATTCAATCCCTGAGACACACGTGGTAGAAGGGTGGAAGGGGGAACTGACTCTCAAGTTGTCCTCTGACCTCAGCATGTGCAGTATGGCTTAGGCTGCACACACACACACACACACACACACACACACACACACACACACACACACCATCATCATCAACATATTGACTCTCAGGGTACTTTCTCCTGCTTTAATGTTGCAATCTCTTCTGCCATCCTTCTCCGTATCTTGTACCCTTAGATTTTAGTTTATAGAATTTCTATACCACTTTCGTCCATATCCACTTACTAGTTCTTCACCTGGTACTCTTTTTGGCATTAACATATTCCCAGGATCCTTGGTAGTAGCAAGCAACATACTGTTTCTTACACGTATGATCTTATTCTTTTGTTTCCTTCAGTATTTTGATTCTCAGGCATGTTAGTGAGTTTATGATTGGGACTATTCAATCAGTGTGGCTTCTCCCCTACTCTTTCAGGGAGGGGTCTTAACATTAGCACTTAACTTTCTCCTGTTTGCTTTTAGGTCTAATCTCCTTGGATGAATTCCGGACCATGTGGAAACTTTTCAACACTCACTACAATGTTCAGATTGATGATTCCCAAATTGATGAGCTTGCCAAGATAGTGGACTTCAACAAAGATGGAAACATAGACTTTAATGAGTTCCTAAAGGCTTTCTATGTAGTACATAAACATGAGAAGCCGCAGAGCCATCTTGCTCAAGATGAACAAAAACTTCTCCCAGCCTCTTTGAAAACAGCTGATCCCAACCTCTAGTCTTAACCAGGACCTTTGAAATCCATCGTAATCAGGCAAAGTAGACCCTAATTCATAGAACAAGCAGATGCACAGTGTGAGTGTTGGCAGTCCTTAGCAAACCACTATTGGTAAGACTAGGTTAAAAATCTGTTGATGAAATTGACCTCCAGTGTTGGGATCCATACATGGCCTGTGATGAACTGGCTTTGAGCCTGCTGGTTTTAGATCATACCTAACCAGGAGACTGGAGCAATTTGGAAGCATACTGGAAGGAACCCACAGAGCAGGAGAGAAAACTATTAGGTATAATATCTATGAGTGGCTGAGGATAAGAAGAATGCTAAACTGTTATTGAAATAAAGCATTTCCATCATCAAGCTGTCATCATTTTTGGGGATTCCATAACCAGCGATCTTCAGTTGGTGGGGGACCACCTTCAGGGAAGAGGGTCATATCAGAATCTTGAGAGAGACTGTGAGACCAACAACAAAGCCCTTATTTTTTATATTTGTTGAAATTATAAAATAAGTATATTCAGATTGAGCCCTATAATTAATATGGTTTGAGAACCTGACTGATAAGACAGGGTCTTGGTTATATATACTACAACTTACTCTGCTGTTCTGATTGCATATCAGACAATTAAGTTCTGTCTAAAAGTTAGGCTATGTTTCATTATTTTTACAACTTTAGAACTTCAAGATCGAGAAAAAATCCAGATCCTACAAGTCTGCCTGCTACATATATCAGAAATAATACATGAATTGTATCAGATATCTTTTGAAATGAATATCTAAACTTGTAGAAAAGCAAAAAAAACTCCCAGAGGCAGGAAAACAGTCTAACGGAAATCATGATAATTCATGCATCAGACAAGATAGGTATTAATGCTGTTGTAAAAATGTAATTTTCACCTCAAAGAACAAATGATAATTTATTTAAATATGTATGGTCATGCCCAGAAACCTGTATTACCTCTAATTCTATGTTCTAACATGGTAACAGTTTTTATAAATCTTTACAGTGACAGAAAAAAGAAAATCATGCATCAAAATACAGTAATACATTGATAGAAACATCAGTTATGAGAGTTATAGAAGAGTGTGGAAATCTCCATCACAGATCTCACACAATATAGGAGATACTGTTAGAGTGGATTGATGGAAGCTAGTGACTTTCTAAAAATAAAATAAATAAAGTGTTTGTTTCATTAATTTTTTAAATTAAAATATAATTACATCCTGTTTCCCCTTCCCTTTCCTCCCTGTAACCCCTCCCATGTATGCCCCCCTCCCCTGCTCTCTCTCGGATCCATGGCATTCTGTCAAACTTAGAAATGGGCAATGAATGACTTTTAAAGGGACTGAAAATAGCCCCAAATAATTTGACTTGGGCTGAAACATTTTAATTTTCCATAATCACAAAACTAAGTCATTTGACCTTGTATAATCTTTAACACAGGTGCAGCTCTTTTTCCCTTCAGTTCACAATACAAAGAATATTGTGGAGAATTTTTTAAAAAAGATTATTGCTAAATGCAAAGGGAATAATTCACCATGAAGAAAAAATAATTTAGATGTATATGCATCTAATCACAAAGCTTTAAAATTAATACAGAAATTTGTACAAGTGCTAGGCTAAATTGATAGAGAAAGCTTTGTGATATCTTTGTCAATAACTTGTCATGGAAATATAAAAGTATGAAATATTGGACAGTCTAACTAACCTGATGCATCATGTGAGTATCTATAAATGCATGTCTATATACTATATAGATATGTGCATGTGCAAACATTTCTGGAACTCAAATCAACTTTTGAAATGTAATTTTTTTTTTTTTTTTTGGTTTTTCGAGACAGGGTTTCTCTGTGGTTTTGGAGCCTGTCCTGGAACTAGCTCTTGTAGACCAGGCTGGTCTCGAACTCACAGAGATCCGCCTGCCTCTGCCTCCCAAGTGCTGGGATTAAAGGCGTGCGCCACCACCGCCCGGCCTGAAATGTAATTTTTAAGATCCACTCTGCAGAATACATATTTTAAGCACACTGGAACATTTATAAAAACTGACCACGAAACAGATCACAATTACCAATCAATGAGAAACATATTATATTCTCTGATTCTAATGCAATTAAATTCAAAGTAAATATGCACAAGGCCCTAGGTTTGAGCTGAAAAAAAAACTTAAAAAGCTAGCCATATTAATGAAGACTAAAAAAGAATATAACTATAGATTTACCATAAAACTTTAAAAAGAAATTCGCAAGAATTCTGTAACTTTAGGCTAAATCTTAACAACAAAAACAACAGCAACAAAAATAGCTGCTACATGAAAAGATTTCAGTTGCTGAGATAAAATACCCTGACTGAAAGCATCACAGAGGAGGAACGGGTTTATTTGGCTTACAATTTCAGCTCCCAGTTCATCTTTTCAGGGAAGTCAAGGCAGGAAATCAATCAGCTAGTCACATCACATCACAGGCAAGAGGAAGGGAGAATATGCACATGCCTGCTTGCGTCTACTGGTTTTCATGTTGCTTTCTCCTATCTCATATAGCTCAGAATCCTCTGTCTAGGGAATGGAGCCATCCATAATGGACTGGGCAGCAGCTATGAAAACAAACCTGAGGTCTTCAACTTACGTGTACAAAACTCCTTTCCTCTTCTCTCATATTAAAACTGATTGATAATGTAGGGCTTGCAAAATGTCTAAAACCTCAGGCCATCTCTGATGACTGTTTTTTTTGTTGTTGTTATTTTGTGAATATCATTTGGTTATTTATTCTCAAGAGTTTTTTTTCTAGCACCCTAGGAAAACCATATAGGTATAGTTGATCCTCATGCTCAGATCTCATATTTACAAATTTCCCTGCTCACTAAAACTTATTCATAATTCAAAATTAATATGTGCAATTGTCATGTGCGAAGGTGGTGGAAAATATGGGTTAAATGCATGGTTCCAGTTGAGGTCAAACATGGTGACACTCTGCCGTTTTGTTTAAGTTTCCAGACCATAACCAAGTGTCCTTCCAGAGATAAACTTATGCATCACGCTTTTCATATATATGTGTGTGTGTGTGTCTTCTTAAAGAGTTTGCCATTGAAAATGGCTCCCAAACTCAGTGGTGAAGTGTTGCCTAGTATTCCCTAAGAGTAACAAAACTGTGAGGTGCCTTATGGAGCAGATACATGTGCTAAGTGAAAATAATTCAAGCATGCGCGATAGTACTGTTGGCATGAGCTTAGTGTTAACGAATCGACAATACACAGTAAATGGATTATATTTATAGAAAAATACTTGTAAAACAAGGTATATATTGATCAGTTGATAGAAATGGTAGCCAAAGCCTGGCAAGAACCCAACTCTATATTTTCCCAAGGAGCATTCTTTCAATATTTGCTAATCCCGTGTTCATTTAGAATACATAGATCCAAAATACTATGAATAATGAGAATCAAGTGGGTTCTCTGAAGATTTTCTTTTTCTTCTTTTTTTTTTAATTTTGCTTTTTAAGGTCATTTTTCTGCTCAATTCACTGCAAATGATTGGGGCTATTTATTGACTAATATATTTGTTTGGGCTCATTTATAGTGACACTTCCGTCATATAGCAAGATCCTACATGCGTGTGGCTCATGGTTACCATCCACTGATCTCTGGAGCTATTCTCTTGCAAATGCTTCACGTATCAAACACTATAGGTTTATATTTTTCTTGCTTTCTGGTAGCATGAACCTTGCTGTCACCTGACTTCTTTGACTCTTTTTGGTCCTTTTGCCTTCGGTATGCACACTGGAATCAACTTGTGAAGTTTGTAGAATCAGCTAGTGGCTTTTGATAGGCATGTCACCATTTACAAGTTAGCCTTTACTATAGTCACCTTTCTTGCTCAGAAACATGACAGTTTCCAATCATTTTAGAATTCGCTCACCTATCTTAACAAAGAGTTTTATGTCATTTCATAATCTTTAAAAGTGATTTATGCTGAGTAGGGGTACATGGGAGGTTTTGGAGAGAAGAAAGGGAAGGGGGGAACGATGTAATTATAATCTCAAAAAATAAATAAAAAATATTTATGCCAAGATATACTATGTAAGTTTTGGTATTCTTCTTCTTCCTCTTTTATCTTTCCTCCACACAGAGTTCTATCTTTAGAGTTTGATTCTTTGCTAGTCTCCAGTTACTGTATGTGTTTCTTGTATGACCAGTGTGTGTTTGTGGGGGAAAACCTAGTTATGTGTTTGTACTATGTGCATACACTTGATCAGCCTGGGTTGTTCACTTGTGGGCTTTGTAAGTTTTCATCATGAACTCATCATTAGCAGAGCATTGTTGCTGTTGCTCCACATCTTCGTATGTGTGGAACAGTCCATGATATTTGGGATGTCGGAGCTTTGCTTCTATGTCTTTGTTCGACTTCTTCCCAGGGGTATTGGTGTTTAAGGAACTGTTCTTACGTAACTTTTTAGTCTGAAGTCTCGGAATTCTGTGGGTAGAGTGAAAGCGGTAGGACTTGTAGTCCTGTGGTTTTAAATTCTCAGAGAGCTTTTATTATTCTCCCACCCAAAGCCCAGTTGCCCTGTGTGGTCTCTCTTGTTTTTAAATCTTTTCATAAATAAAATAGTTCTTTGAGGGTCTTGGCTTTATGTGAAGTTCTCAGTTTAATTCTCTACCCCCTAGAGCCCAAAGCCTCATTTCCTGTGCCTACATAGGGTATTAAATCCCAAACCCCTAGGTTCTGGAGACAAATACCCCCTGTTATCTCAAGCATTCACTCTTCTGCTTTTTCTTTTCCTCTTTTGTTTCTGGCACCTGGGGGTTGGCTTTTATTATTTGTGAGCCTAGTTGTACATTTAAAATAATCACAGGAGGTTTTACTCAGTGTATCTAGGTGATTATAGTAAAAGGATTTTCATGTTGTCTGAGTTGCTATATTACTAGCAGTGATAAAGCTTTTGTATTCTTTAGTGTGGGCTGCATTCTTAGTATTTGTTCATAATCTTTAGACTTCATATTTTTAT